TTCTGCTAAATATCAGTGCATAAGCGCAATTCAGACAGATAGAGACTGGGCCGTGGTTCACAAGGGGCTAAGATTCTTGGCATTCTGTCTCATAATTGCTGCCGCATACCTGAGGCGGTTGATAATTACTACATGTTACCAGATATAATTTGACTGGTCTTTTGTTCCACTACACAGATTCTCTGATCAGGAAATCGATGACATGTTACACGGAGCACCAGTAGATTCTAAAGGTCTCTTTGACTACGTCAAATTCACCAGAATTATCAAGCATGGAAAAGATGATGATTAATTAACCATACAGCTAATAAATTATCAGTTGACAAGAACTTTGTTTTCATTTTTGTGCAGTGAACCCTGTACTAGGCTTATATGAACATTGACGTATTGACTTGTTCCTTTAGGCAGTGTAACCAGTTTTTAAAAAAGTATAGAACATTGTAGTGAATTTTGATGACTGACTTGGCAGGTAACATGACTATTTTTTTTGTTGTTGTACAAACTTACCCATGTTAAAAGTAGCAAGCAAATAAATTTATGCATCTGTAATGATGGTTGAGTGTTATGTAGTTTATGTCTGTCTTTTCCAGGCCTTAATCCCGGGGGGTGGGGGGTACTCCCAGAAAAGTCTGCAATTTTCACTACCCTATTTATGACTTCACCAAAAATTTGATATCCTATTTATGACCGTTGCTCTCAACATAAGTTATGAAGGGCTTTTGTTGATGGCTTTATCGATAATGGTGAAAAAATAACTTCTTCTAAAAAACATACCCTATACAAGACTAGACCATACCCTATTTAGGACCAAAATGGCCAAAATTGATACCCTGTTTATGACCAAACGGCTGAAAAACCCTACCCTTTGGGGTCACACATACCTATATAGCCCATATGTGGGAGTAACCCCCTGGGCCATAAGTATGGGTTACTGAGCAGGTGTGAGGATTTATCATATGGGTAGTACCGAGCGGGCAAGATAGCTCCATCTTGCCCACTCGGGTAGCCAATCACAGCCCAGGATTTGATTCATCTTGCCCGCTCATATCATGGAGCTAGCCATATAATAATCACAATTAAGCTGGCAACATAGACAGGCCTGGGAACTAGCCAAATATCAGAGCACCTGAGCCCGGTTGTTTGAAGGCTGGATAACGCTATCCACTGGATAAATTGCTAGCCAGTGGATAAGTGTTAAAAAAACAAGCCATGGGTCTTATATATATGGGAGATACAGTGGCCTAATAATTAGCACGCTGGACTCTGATTCAACCTGTCTGAATTAATTTCAACACTGACTAGGGTCATTGTGTTGTGTTCTTGGAAATGTGCTAATAATGCACTACCTCTTCAACTTGTAGCATAATGAGTACCTGGTGGGGGAGGGGAGGGTTTCTTAGCACTTCATCCACCCTCTACCTTTGGCCTCTACATGCTTTGACTCTCACCCCTCCCCCCACCCCCCTCATCCAGAGGGAGTAGCAACACAGTTTGAAGGACCTCATCCACTCATTCATTTTGGCCTCCTTGTGGCGTGACCCCCCCCCCCTGCCGCACGCAGCATAGAAAGAAGCAATACTAGTTGCTTCATGCTTCAGACACCATAACTGCCATTCTCTCTATGAAATATGCCTGCAGGGAATCATGGTAGTTGTATTACTATGATTCCTTGCCTCATAGAGGTCGCAATGGCCTTGTGGTTAGTGTGGTCATCTCTGGATTGAGTGGTCTGGGTTCAAGCCCTGGTCGGAGACACTGTTGTGTTTTTGGGCAAGACACTTTACTCTCACAGTGACTCTCTCCAGGTCCTGGTGAATAAATGGGTAGTGGCGAATTTATTATTGGGGGCAAGTGTGTGATGGACGCATCCTATCCAGGGGGAAGTAGAAATACTCCTAGTTGCTTCATGCTACTGAAACCAGGATAAGTTCTGGCCTGATGGGCCACTTGGCTCATATGCAGACTTCACCTAACCTTACACCTCATAGAGGGAAATTAATCTTTAGCATAACCTGGTCCCACTGATCCTTAATCCTGATCAGATTATGGTATCAGTAGATGATGAATGAAGCAATTAAGAATTTATTGATACTAGCCCTGACTGGGCTTCTGTGCCACTGAGAGTAAAACTGCTGTATTTTTGTCAGGTTCACTTCATGTTCATCTTGTCCAGTATGTATTCATGTATTCATACATGCTTAAAGACACTTTTTCTGACTCACCAAGGTTGTGCTTTAAATCCCAGAAATGCGTTTACTCAAAATTAATTCAGTTTTGAACTTCTCACAGTTGAGTTCTAAATATATAACACCATGGGACTCAATGCCCTTCCATTAACTGTCATTCACAGATTTTACCAGTTGGAGCAGGTGCTCATTTTCTGGACAACCATCTCTTGTGAAATAATGACACTGATCCAGGTTGTTTTTAGGTAAGTAAAATTTATTGTGAACAATATTAGTAATAATGTAACTGTTTTTAAGATTGTTATAGTTATTTTTAAATCTCTTACACATATGCCAAGAATTTTTTTCTTAAAACACTTGCTCAGGATTGACTGAATGACATACTAGCATGTCATCTGTTTATTGACTTTGAACTTGCACCTTTAAATACTACTTTCAAGACTTTCAAATGTTATGATGAGGTACATACAACAGTCTAACCTTATAACAAATTGATGGAAGGGCATAAGTATACCTCAAGATCTGCTTCTACAGTTTGAAGTTATGTTACTTGATTTCTGGGAGATGCAAATGAAACGATAATATCCTCATGGAGCTGATAAACTAGACCCTGTCTATGTGAAGATGTCCACCTTTGCTCATTCATCCTACTGTCTGTCACAAACTTAAACAGATAGTAATCATTCTTGCAAATGGGACGGTTAAATTAAAGAGATCCAACAGTATTAACAACCACGAACATGTGAAACATAACTGCAATGATTTAAGTTAGAAACCCGTCACAGAGATAAGCTAAAAAAGTAATGTGATATCATACACTTTACCTATCAATCAAAATGTTTTCATGAAATTATCGGTAACTATTATTATTCCAACAGGTACTAAAGTTTTAACATTGTGGTTTCCAGGGTAACAGTAACTGTAATTAAAATCATAATTATAATATTTCTAAAAGTGTGCTTGTTTATTACTTAATTAAGATACCCAGCCTGAACTGTGGTTCTTCCATTATTTCCCTGTTTGTTAAAGCATTTTCATTACCCCATCACTACTGCCATGTTTAGATAATACTTTTAAATATATTTACTTTAAAACCTCCTGCCTCAGTTAGCCATTGCTATCCATGGTAAGTGAATGTTTCCAGTTTTCTTTGTTGTTTTCCAGAAATGTTGTTATTGGTGGTGGAAATGATGACAATAATGACAATGACAAAAACAGTTAGGTGGCAGCAATTTACCAGGCATTCAAAGACCATGGAATGTATTTTCCACTTTAGCAAGAAGGCTTCTTAATTTCTAACTAAATAATAAATTATGTATAAGACTAAATTCTCCCCACTATCATGTACAAAATGTACAATAACCAGTTAAGGAGAATTTTTACTCTAAGGTCACATTCTCTTTTGACCTTTAACACTTGCCAGCCATTGCTGTATTTTTGTCTTCAACTCAGTGTGCGGCTGCACCATTTCAAGAGTAAGAGGACTGCGGTTGAACGGATCTTTCTGATCACTACAAGGTGGAAAGAAGTGTTTCATCACTAATAATAACAAATTAATTAATAATACAGATATTTCAATGCAGAGCCTTCATCTGAGAAAGTGGTTTTTAGTGGGTCCCTTTAAGAAAGCAAAAACACAAACCAAGAAAGGATCTTTACAGTTCACATAAATGTATTACTAAGGAAAAGAAATGACTATAAGAATTAAAGGAGCTCAGTCACGACATTTTGAGTTATTTTAGCCACATATGAAATTACCTTTAAACTGAAGGAAACCTGAAATTAGTAGCTTACTAAGATAGAAAAACACCAAAGAGACAACAATAAACCATAGAGGAGCATGGATTACAAATGACAAACTTTAGACTACATTTTTCAAGATGCACAAACCCCGACATAGCTCCATTAAGGACCCTACTCAATGACATCGTGCTATCATTATATCATTAAACTATATGTTATATAACAATGACAAAAACAAAAACATAATTGTCTTCATAATTTGTGCCACAACATTTTTATTTCAATAATTTAGAGAACAGTTTTTATTTACTGTTTTGTGAAACTGATCTACCAAAAACAGATTCCTTCAAATTTATTCTGATTATTGCACCACAATAATAGATTTATTCCCTCAGATAAGCATAGAAAACTTGCTTAACATTGCTTCATAGAGTGTCATCTCAACATTTCACGTTTCAAACTGGGTTTTCAATTCTAATCTTTTACTAATATGACCTCTGAATCCCAAACTACCTTCAGTTGAAAGCCATATACCACTGCACACATGAATCTCAGACTGTTTTCTAGATCAAACACGTACCTTAGCAAGTGACGACAAATGGTTGATTTGTCAACCACATTATTTGATGTAGTTAGAATAACAGGATCACTCATCAGCATGTTTGTTATGGGATCAACAAACTCATCGGGTGGCTGTTAAAATGAAAGAATATTGTGCTGAGAATAATCTCCAACAACATTAACTACTGATTAACCAAAAGTTAGGTCTTTACAGGGAAAATCTCAAACCTCAACCTTGTGGGTTTGAGATTTCCCCATAAAGACCAAACATTCGAGGTTAATGTTTAGTTGTTTATTATATGGCTTTTTTGCTTTGGTGTTGAGGCCTGTAATCGGCCTGTGGGCATTACAGAAGAATGCCCTAGAATTAGCCAATCAGAGTGCATGTTATATCGGTTACAAACACACACCATCTAATAATATGCTATAATTCCCAGATGATTAATATTGGGGATTTCATCTTTCCCAGAGGTCCAAGTTTTTAAGACATATTTGGAGAGAAGTGTTGGCATTATTTAATTGGAATCTTTCAGTCTTACTTCTGGTATTTCTTCCTCTTCCTCTTGCTGCGCCAACTCATCTATGCGAGAGGCAAGTTCACTAAGTCTAAAAATCACTGATGTTGGTCTTCCAATCAACCTGGGGATCCAAACAGTATTAGTAGTAAGCAGTTGTGATATATTCAATAATTTACTAGATTATGAGCCTGAGATTGCTATTTGACGATAACTGACAAGGGTGTAGCCCGAGTCAACTTCCACACAGAAATCAAGAGTGAATAATCTAATAATCATAGTATAAATCTACTAGTTGTTCAAAACTCTATTTAAATTCTCTTCACAGACACTTCAAAAACCCAACAAAGCAGTGGCCAGTTTGTTAACAAGTGCAAACCACTAGGGTACTCACTATCTACAACAGAATAGATATAGTGAGTAGCGTAGCCAATAAGCGAATACCATTCGTGATAGAATGTTTGCACATTTATAGACGTTATACTAATAACAGATAACTCCGATTATGTGACATCCTATTTGCAAGATAGTAATGAACAAACAGTGTCAACCACAGTCTGAGGGTAGCAATGCATGATAGTGATGGTTATGCACAGTGAAAAGAAAACCAATACCCATAACTCACCACCCCCATCAACAGCCCCCTCTACTCCAAAAAAGTAACCAGAGTAAAATTAATTAAAAATTAAATCAATACAATAATTTCGTCTCCTAAAGTACTTTTGTAAGTTGAATCCTCTCAAAAGAAAAGTACCAAAAAAACTTAACATTGCCCATTAGACAAGCAAAGGACAGAATCCTCTGGCCTGACTGCAAAATCAACTAGACCCAGGCTATCATTCACAACATTACTTGAACACCATGGTGTTGATAGTGATGGAAGTAGTAACAGTGACAGTGTTACTTAGGCTAATGATGATAGTAGTAGAGTAAGAGGAGCCAGAGGCAAAAGGTGAGGAGGAGGAGCACAAGTAGGAGGAGGAGGAGGAGAAGGAAAAGGTGGTGGTGGTGGTGGAGGAGGAGGAGCAGGACGAGGATGAGGAGGACGAGCAGCACGAGGACGAGGAGGAGGAGAACGAGGAGAACGAGGACGAGCAGAAGGAGGAGGAGGAGGAGAAGGAGTAGGTGGTGGTGGTGGAGGAGGAGGAGGAGGAGGAAGAAGAAGAGGAGGAGGAGGAGCAGGAAGAGGATGAGGAGGACGAGCAGCACGAGGACGAGGAGGAGGAGAAGGAGGAGAACGAGGATGAGCAGGAGGAGGAGGAGCAGGAGCAGGAGGAGGAAAAGGAGGAGGAGGAGGTGGAGGTGAAGGAGGAGGTGATGATTGTTACTGAAGACAACCAAGGACACTGCCAAGTCATTTCATATTTATTACTTACTTTAAAACTCTCTCAGACTGTTTAAATAAGTTGGGGGAGTATGACCGTTTGTCTGTAGCCACTGCTCTGCAGAAGGATTCTTCTTCACCAAGGTTAAGATACATGTCAATTATATCTGAGACAAGTTGCTGTGGCTTGAAATGAAACTCTGATAAATTCTTCACCTAATTAGCAAGGAGAAAAAAGAAATCAAAGTTATTTCTGTGTGCAATCAAAATGATGTAAATTATACTCAAGAAATCATGGCAGATATATTACAAATAAGGCTTATTTGCTAGGAATGAAGAAATAGACTTGATTGGTACCTTCAGCTCACCCATCTTTGGTCCCACCAGTCTCAAGAGAAAGTAATTCAGCATATCAGCAGTCCTTCTTAGCATGCATCCAATAAGAAATGGTCTGTAAAGAGAGGGAAACAGTCAGTTGATAATACAATAAAGCACATCTCATGGTAAACATTTACAGGTTTACCGAGAACAAGTTGACAGTTGTAACATTTCATTGTCTAGCACTTTAAAAGGGTTTAGGTGTTGCCAGTAGTTTAACCTGTTCATACATCTTAAGGCCAGTTTTGCTCATGGTCGGTGAAAATACAATCAGCATTGCATAGCCTGAGTAGGAACTAGGCCATGGGTAGTGCATTTGTTGTAGGAAATCTGCATGATTTAATCTTGTTCAATGGTAACAATTCCTTGTTGGTTATTTTTGCTTGATTATTACTTCTTTAGTGTTTTTTTCTGCATTAGAAAATTAATATTATTTCAAGAAAGTATATAATTTTTCATATAAATTTGCACAGCAAAATTTGACATCAAGTAAAATAGTATGACATGCCTCCTTTAACACACAGAAACAGCATTACCTCTTAACCTGAGCTGTCATGTAGCTCAGTGCATGGACTGTCTCATTGGCCAGGATGTTGTTACTGCGAGCCATTCCACCTGTGTGTTGAAGCTCCTGCTGCATCTATCCAGTAATGAAAAGAACTAAGAATAAGGTAACTGGACATTGCAAAGTGAGAAGTTTGAAAAGTTTTGTGTACATTATGGGTCAGTTTTATCACTCTAAGACTGTAGTCAAAATTTTGTATTGGCCCACGGTCAGTAACCTTTTACTAGCCTGTTGGTTACAGTAAAACCCCACATATAAGAACCTGGATTTTTCCCTCTTAGCCTAAATAGGTTCTTATAGAAATGGTATTTAGTGGGATTTTAGGCTACTTAGGTTCTTAAATAAGTTCTTAATTTGATAGGGGCACTAGTGATCAGCACGGATAACTACTAATACAATTGCATTGTGTAATCCAGTATTGGCAAAGACATGATATGGTCTTCATTTTAGTTCATTCTATGAATCTAATTTTAGGCTAAATAGGTTCTTATGAAAAAGGGGTTTAAAATGAAAATTTTAGCCTAACAGGTTCTTAAATTTTAGGTTCTTGTATGCGGGTTCTTACTGTATTTGTTTGTGAACAGTTGGTGAACAGTTAGTATCCTCTCTCCTGAGAGCACTGCATTGTGTGACAGACAACAGAGCTGGACTTATCAAATGGATGATTATTGCAAACTTAAGTTTGTGACAAAACAAAAGTCACACACACCTGTTGTTGTGCCTGGTCACTTAAACTCTCCCACTCTCCACTGTCTTTCTCTGCCTGCATTTTCTTTAAAGTTGCCATATACTGCAGAAACAATAATTTAATATTAAGTTTGGTGAAGTCTATGCAAAAGCAAAGTGATGTACAAGTTTGAATTCTCAGATTGGAGTCTGTAGCTACATTAAATGACTTGGAGCACTTGAGATCTAGCACACTGGATGGGATACTTATAAAATGCATTGCAGGCTACTGTGGCAGTTTGTTTTTCATATTTCAACCATACTTTTTTTTGATAGATCCCTTTTAGCACCAAGTGTTGAAAGACACAATGAAGGTTATGTCACTAAGAGCCTTGTCCAAGAATAAAACACGTGGACTCTGGCCAGAGGTGGACCATTAAGCCAACCAGCTACAATTCTAATCATAGTGGGACAATACTTTTAGGCCGAGGTCAGAATACTTCTGTTTACATAATGCAGTTGTCCCCTTCCTTTCATCACAGAATTGAATGCTTAAGGTTCACAGAGCTGTGATGTTGTTCAAACTAACAGTTATTTCACTGACCATTAATTTTACACATTGGATGAGGGGCTAAGTTAAGTAAGGTGCTATCTGCATTTTGTAGCTAGTTTACAATTTGTACTTTTTGGGAACTTAAAATGTTACGAGAAGACAATAATAAAAATTTCTTGTACTAAAACTAACCTAAAAATGACAGTGGCACCTTTCTGCTCGTTGTCTTTCAAATGTGACTGTGTTTTTGCTGTTGCTTGTATTAATGTACCCCATACTTCATAGCTTACACAACAGCATTATTATGGCAATGGTCCTGGTTCATATGCTGTGCTTTCAAAAGCACATCATCTCAAAGAGTAACATACCTGAAGAGCTTCATCCAGCAGAAATATAGAATCATTAATCAACAAGTTAAGGAAGCGAAGGAACAAGGGTATAACATTTGTTGTCATTTTCCTTCTTTCATCAGCTGCCTAAAAAGATAGACCAGACACTATTATTATAAAAGTGTAAGCTTTATTGCATATCACTGGATGAATAAATACTAGTATACTACTTTCATTATGTTGTTCCAGAACAAGGAACAACACAAGGAGGGTTTTCTGGCTTGAACCTCCCCCCTCATCCCCCGCCCCCCCTTTTGTTCAGTTGTTACCACAGGAAACCTAGACTCACAACTAGACTACTCAAGAGCAAAATAATTAATTAGTGTACAACAAATAATTACAATTAGTACAGAAAGTAAAGCTACCAGTAGTATACAAATGGATGTTGTCTACTGCAGTACATGTATATAGCCCTATGTAATAGTTAAGAAATAAAAAACAAATGATGCGTGTTTCTATCGAGTTATAGAAACACAGGTGAAAGTTTGGGAGAACAAGAAATGCTAAGGGAACACAGGTAAACAGGCAAGTCTTTCTACAGCTTTTTCCCCTAAACTCCCACTAGTATTTCTATACCTGGATAGAAAGACAGAGAATATGTTTTCTATTTCTTTTAGGAAAATCCGCAATGAAAACAAGAAAACAACTTGTTCACCTTGATCATCAAAATGTCAACAGCTCGTGCTAGTTCTGCATTTATATCAGGTTTTAGTGTAAATCTACAAGCATTCTATCACGAATGCCGTTCTGTGATTGGCCATGCTACTGCACTATCTACTGATTTCTATGCATGACAGTTGGCTCGGGCTGTGCCCTCATCAACTATCATGTGATAAAAATCTTGAGCTCATAATCTAACTGTTTATTAGTAGAATTGTACTAGTATACTAATGCAAATGCTGTAATCTGATTGGCTGAGCCATTGAACACTATCAGCCATTAGTGTGCAGTGGCTGGAGGTCGTCTACGAAATGACGTTTTATCGTTCTTCCAAAGTTTTAGAGGAAAATTTCGATGCAAATGGATAATTAAATTCCCGAAAAGTCTAAACAAAGGACATTTACCGTTTCTTGATTTTTAAAAAAGTTGAAATTATTGAAAAAACTGATGCGCGTGAGCACACAGCTTCAATTTTAAATGACAAGTCAATCCGAGCGATCTTTTTCGGGTGCAAAGTTTAATAATACGTCAAGAAAATAATTGGAAACTGTTATTTGAAGTAAATTTTAGCAAGAATTCTACTAAAACAATTAGATTATTCGCTCTCAATTTCTATGAGGTGAAAGTTGATTTGGCCTTAGGCCTCATCAACTATCACCTCATAGAAATCTAAAGCTCATAATCTAATTGTTAAATAGAAACACAATTTTGAACCATTCAGTACACATAGGTTTCTTGGGCTATTTTCTAAATGATTATACTGTGCTTATAGTGTTAAACAGCCACTTGGTCTTGAAGAGCATGTCTTCTTTAACAAGAGATGTGACCTCACATTATCAAATTGTGTTTCATTGCTTCTTACCTCATCTCCCAATTTCGTCAGAGATTCTCTGTACTTTTCTTCTTTCCACATAAACTGCAGCACAGAATACATGTGATGGCGGTAACCTACCAAAAATTACAAAGTCAAAAAATTAGAGTTGAACCTCTACAGAGGCAGACTGAAGCACCTTGCTGTTGTCAAAAGCTGGTGTCATAAGGAAGAAGTGTATGGATTGCTGCATGGTTATGATGAACAATCCTAGCTATTGCCAGACAGCAGCTTTAAGGACGTTCGCGCTAATTGTTTCTGCACATCCTTACCGCGCATGCAAATTTACACGCCACGTCATGCATGAGAGCGCACGCTAAATAACAGAATGAACCATGATAGGGCAGATGGCCATTGCCATAGCTTTGCCTGGATTGAACGATCTTGGACATTACGTGACCCCTGTTTTTCTTTTGATGGATCATTCTCTCTACCGATTTTGTATGTTTAGCAAAAAAATGAAGAAAATCTATCGACTAGAAGTTTGAATTATTTGCAAAATGCACCATCAAATTCCGTTCTTTTTAGCTCTTCATTTATATCTGTGCAACGGTTTCAAAATGTCTCTTGAAGGGTTAAGTTTTGCAGAGACGTTGATAAAATTTGGAATTATTTACGCAATAGACCCACTTCTACAAAATATGACTAAGATTGTTTGCCTCAGTTGACTCACCTTCAAAATTTTTAACTATAAACCCTCGTAGACCATGCTGAATTACATGTGCTAATTTTTCAAAATAAAGGTAGTTTTTCACATGCTTTATCTCTGAAACGAAGTTGTTGACCCCCAATTTTTTTTTTTTTTTGCATTTCTGAGACAAGTAACTCATTATCTGACTGCAGTAAAAATTTAAAAAAATCTATCTACTGGAAAAATTTTTGAGCAAATGTCCTTAAGTACTAGCTGAACTACACTAGCAGAACTTGAACCCCCTCCAATATGTCTATCAAATGGGATGATAAAGGTATCAATGGCAAATATAACCAAACTATCTGAAGCCAGCTGATGACATCTGACCTTGTTAGTAATACAAAAACTATGAAACAAAGTTACCGTCGCTTGCATCTTAGAAGCGTGAACACATGACGCCGAAACATGCTCTAATTGGGCATGTCAAACGTGGCATGTTTGGTCATCAAACATTTGAAGTTTAGCAGACCGTAACACGAACTTTCACACTAAAAGTTCAGCACATGAAATGCCAGGAAGATTGGACATTGAAGACCTCTTCAGAGAAATTGACCCTGACCTGTGTAAATATGCATACGCCTTTCACAAAGTGGTTTACTTCTAGTATAACCATGAAATATTGGAGTAAGACTTTCATAGTCTTTCAGTATATATCCCCAAAGGACATCAACGAAAGTACACATTACGGTCTGCTAAACTTCAAATGTTTGATGACTAATCATGCCACGTTTGACACCCAATTAGAACATGTTTCGGCGACACCTGCTCACGTTTAGATATAAGTGACAGAACTTGGTTTGGGTGATTGTGCATAGTACAGAGCAGTGTTCCAACGTATTAGGTTTTTAAAAAAGTGTCCTGGGCCCTCATTTTTTGGATATTTTCTTTTGCTATTTTATTTCATTCAAATTAAACTTAAAATTTTCTGTGCGTCCCAAGGACATGATGGGCGCTGTGCTTGTACCTCCTCCTAAGTTTTAGGCATATATAAATATGATTTGTGTGTAAATGTGAACTCTGGTACAGAGTCAAACACCCACTAATAGTCACCGCCTTAAGAAGACAGTTGCAAAAAGAGAACTGAGGCAAATATCCAGCTATCTTGACTTCACGCTTGGTCAATAACTTGTATGTAAAGTTAATACAGCTGGTATATAGAAATGTGACTTACCAAACTTCTGCTCAAACTGCATTGAATGTCCTGTGAACTCAATGTCTACAAACAGCTGTAAGAGAGCCCGTGGAAGGTAGGCTGGGGCAACCTTGTGTTGTAAGAATGCTTTCTGCCTGTTGAACTGTGAAACAAACAACGATTTGAGTGTTGTTGGACTAGAATGGCCTTGCTTCAATTAGCCTGTTTTCTACTAAAACAGATTGGACTGAGAGAAGTACTATTCAGGGTCAGAGTGTTTTGTGAGCAATGCAATCAATCAGCCCAATGTTGATTTCAATCACCAGCATGGGTGAGATGGTCAAAAACTGTGATCAGAGGAAAAATTTTTTCCCTCAAAAGTGCATAAATTTTGCGCGTGGTCTTCAATTTCATAGAAAAACAATTCTCCATATTTTTTTTACTGGTGTGCTACCTGTTTTTGGGAAAAAACGAGGACAAAATGGCAATTTAAAGCAGTATACATGCACTTCCTGAATCACAAAAAGTATGATATCATTGTGATATTTCATCAGTTTTGCAGAAATACAGCAAAAATGAATTTGAAAACCCGTAGGTGATTGACAGGTAGATAGACAAGTGTAGGCATGCAATGTCAATAATCAATCATTACCATATTGACTGGTGAGACAGATAACAGACCAGCGGAGTTCTTGGACTTCTGGATTGGTACCAATGCCTCTAGAGTCTCTGCCAGTTTTGCTCTGAGATGTGGGTTTCGCACTCGTTCTGGACTCCTGCAAAAGAGACCCACAATTTAAAGACATAAATAAACATAATTTGTAATAGTAATTGGACCGAGTGGAGTACAATTCAGGGAGTAATTGTGTGAGTAATTTCAAAATCAGGCGAGTGCGAAGCGCGACACTGATTTGAAATTACAAGCACAATTACTCCCTGAATTGTACAACACGAGGTCCAATTACGAATTAATAGTATCTATAACAAATTTCGGAATTAAAAATGTCTTTTGAGAACTTCTTTTGGGCAAAAACATCTGTATCGCTTTTCATAAGTTTTGAAAACTGTAGGAAACAGTGCAAAGGAAGCCATTAAAGAGCACGTAATTGACGTGCGAATCACATGGGTATCCAATTACAAAAAGTTCAAATTGGTTACCTGTAAGGTGTGCAGAGAACCAATCACGATCGAGAATTTTGTTATAGATATGATTATTAAATGTAATCAATGCATGTACAGTGTATGAACTTGAAAACTAGAAGTATTTCATGCTCAGCTGACAGACCAGATCAAACCTATGGGAAGCAGGAATGATGCAGTGGCCAGAGTGCTTCAATCAATCAATCAATCAATCAATCAATCAATCAATCAATCAATCAATCAATCAATCAATCAATCAATCAGTCAGTCAGTCAGTCAGTCAGTCAATCAATCACTCAATCAACTTCATTTAGAGAGGGTGACACATGACAGTATAAACTGATAAACTAGTGGCCCTCCGTGCTTGCCTCCCAACAATGTGCCCTTGGTTCCATTCTGGCCATATGTGGGTTAAGTTTGTTGTTGGTTTTTGCCTTACTCTGAGAGCTTTTCTCCAGTTACCTCTGAGTCAGTTTTGTTTCCTCCACAAAAACAAACATCCCCAAATTCATGACCAATTTGACCAGGGTAGAGGACCCACATAAACCAGGTATGGCTGATGTGGCAATCCTCTCTAAATATTGTAATTTATCTATTTATCTTATAATTTAAACCCAATTTCAAATTGAGTCTGTGGCATAATTAAACTGCAAAAAAATCACAGCAGGTGTCTACTAAGTTTTATTAAAAACTGGACATTGGATAAATTTTATGAAATTCAAGGGTTTTCATTGGATTAGCCATCATGGTATATCAGCCATTATACCATGCTCTACAAACATGATAAGCGCTCTACAAATATGATAAACGTATGCATAATTTTTGGGGGCGTTTTTCTTTATATTTTATTTTCTATATTTCAGGAGCATTTTTAATAAAACAATTATTCCACTCACGCTTGATGGAGATGAGATGATTATAGCCAACTCATATCCGATGTGCGCTCATGATATAATAATATTGTTAATATTATAATTATTAATTTTACAATCCTACACATACCCCATGTAAATAATGAAAAATGTGACAAGATGGTCAAGAGATGATCCAGCCCTCTCCAGAGTTTCCTCACTAAAATGCCTTGAAAAGAGAAAATTAGTGACTAAATGTCCAAATGAGTCATGAAGTGCAGTGAAAGTTAGCCAAAAATGTTTAAGCTCTTTGCACAAGAAAAGGTCTCACCTGAGATCAATAAATAAATCTCTTGCAAGTATCAAATGAATGTCAGTACTGATAAATATTATTAATAATAATCCTAAACACATGGACAGCAAATCAACCTTCAAGAGAATAGTTCTTGAGATCAAGTACCTGAGAAAAATGATAAAGTCTGCCATGTTTTCCACAATGAACTCAGGGACAAACAGGAGTCCAGTAGGAGTCTGTATAAAGAAATATTAAAAACAAACAGTTGACTAAAGTTCTTCTGATCATCAAAGGGTAAAAGAATAAAGTCTATATATGAGCCACGTGGCCCATCAGGCTAGTGTTTATCCCAGTTCCAGTAGCATGAAGTGACTACAAGTAAGAGTATTTCTACTCCCCCCTGGATGGGATGCAAGTACATCACAGGGTTACCCCCTCAGCATAAGGTTTGCTGGTACCCATTTATACACCTGGGTGGCAAGGGACCCTGTGAGAGTAAAGCGTCTTGCCCAAGAACACAACTCACTTGATCAAGTGCACTGACCATGAAGCCACTGAGCCTCCACACTTCTGACCAATAAAGGCAACTTTAATTCATTTGATAAACTAGTTGTTATTCACCAGACTACAGTTAGAAGCAGTTTCATTCTCTTCAGATAATGTGTGGTTCTTGAAAGTATTCATATCCACCCCATGGAAGGTAGCTTGAAACTACAAGGAGGTGTGGGGTCTAAAAGCCAAAACTTTCTAAGGGAATGTATAAAGTTTATAAATAACTGGAATTTCCAGAGGGGTTAAGACCAGGGTGCAAACCAAAAAACCTTCCCTGGGGAGGAAATGGAATTTTCTGGAACACAATACAAAATGCAATGAACTTGTAAACCTCAGTAGGGAGAGGAATTTCCACTTCTTTAAAAGACGTCATTTCATCAAAGCTATCACCAGCCAATGCCAGTTGGTTTAGCCATGATGCAGTTGCTATGTAGAATCGCAGACCAAGTTCGATTAAAGAAGGGTTCAGAAGATGTGTCTGTAGAAACAAGCACAGTAAGTAAGCTATAACCTTAAAAGTACTCATAACTGTAGAAATAATTATCCATTACGGCAAAAAAATAAATAAATAAAATACTGTAAGTAACAAACAAAATGGTTAATAAAATGGTACACCAAGAAACAAGTAGGATTAGTACTTCTCCTGGATACCATGTTACATTGTGTACCAGTTTCTCAACCAACAGGTTTCCCAGCAATCAAAAAATACAAAGACCATTGGTAATAAATTACATATTATTTATATGCTGTGACTACATGGGCGGTCATTTTAAATTTATTAACTTTCCTGTCCTTTGCGAGAGACTAACATTAATGCATATAATTTATGTGACAAAGGAAATTTTTAGAATGATCGTGATGTTTATAAATTTGTAAGATAGATCTCGGTTTGAGATTTTCCCATAAAGACCTCACTCTTGGTTGATAAGTGTTTTGTTCACAAAAGAATGTGTGTTATCTTGAGGCTGCTGATGCTGAGGTATGTATGAATCATTAGACTTAACTTATTTGCATATTCTATCAGTTTATTGCAACCAGCTTTCTTGTAATGGTTTCCTTTAGATTTCGTTTTGCTGTAGCTCTCTTGAGCCACCGGGTACATGTAAGTGTTAGCCATTGGGCATCAAACTTTGCTTAATTGTTTTTCTTTCCTTTAGTTTCATGCCTTTGTTAATATTTCTAGATTTCGAAGTAATTACCGACAAAATAGAATTAACTTATTGTGACTTACGTAAGCATTGACTGATATTTTCATAACTGTTACAGTGAATTATACAGCAAGCGAAACAATAAGTAGTTAAGAATTTGAATTAAGACACAGGGTCATCACAAGACACAATGAAATAATTATAGCGTCATCTTGGAGGGAAGAAATGCTGAAAAATAACTGGGAAATGTTACTGTTTGATTTAATAGAAGCTGTTTGGAATGAATCTTTTCCTAACCCTCCAAGGAACTTTACATTTAGTGAACTCACCTTTAGTGACAGTTGTTTGATGATGCTATTTTCAAACTGAACTTTCAGTCTCTCGACCAACACTCCTTCAGAACCATGTGCAGCAGCATCTTGATACACCTGCTGCATCTGCGAGAGAAACAAAAATTCTTTAGCATCACCCTACTGTTACTATGACCAGTGGAAAAAGATATCACAGATCAATCTGCATTAAAAGGTAAGCTAACTTTGTTCTACACTACAAAGGGTAAACCAACCTGAAGGCCTATTTACACTACAAAAAGGTTTTTAGTATGGTTATATGTATCAAAAAGAGGTTAGGCACAGATAAATGAACTTTTCTCATCTGTGCTGAAGCAAAATTACACCCCTGCTCAGGCCTTCTGATTAGCTAGTCAATGAAGGCTGAAATTTGAGCTCAGGACAGATGACAGAAAGTCACTGATCCCACAAAATTTATCTGAGCAAATCTTTTTTTGGTGCATGCAACATTTTAACCTGAGTTGTGACCAAAATTACACCCCTGCTCAGACCTACTGTTTAGTTAGTCAATAAAGGCTGAAATTTGACATTAGGACAGATGACAGAAGTCATCGACGCAACAAAATTTATCTGAGCAAATCTTTTTTGGGTATGTGTAACATTTTAACCTGAGTTGTGACCTAGATTTTTGTCATGTAAATCAGCCTTAAATCTTTTTACAAGAACTAAGTGGTTTGATCCTATGCCAGCACTTAAATAATTTTCTTAGCCATTTTTAATCTGCAGCATAAGAGGACTAGATCTGTTGGCCCTTTTGACCTCCGGTAGAGCAGGCTATCATTATCTTTTAGTTAGCTCATCATCGCAGTTCACTACTAGCCATTAACTAAATTTAGCTAGGTGTTAAGGCAGGGTGTCTGCCCTATCATGATGCAAGTAGATTGTGGTTTGGCTCAAATTCTGAATATCTCCAGGTATCTAGATACTGAAATGACTCATGGTACTTCTTCCAGGTTGGCCATCAGAAACCCTGAGAAACTCAAGATATATGGGACCCTACTTGAATTTTAATTGTCACGCGACTATCACTTGCATTCATATTGAGTTGCAAAAAAAAAAAAAACAGTTGTGTAGAAAAGACTGTCTTGTGTTATTTTCTTTAATTTCCTTTCATAGCAATTCAAATCTTGTAAGGAGCCACCAAACCATTTATGCTAGGTTGCATGCACTTACTTGTGCTAATTCATTCATGAGTTTTCTGTATTTTTCACAGACCTTCCATAAACCTGCAAAAAGGCACATAAAATATGGTAATACATGTACACTGTACTGTGCTGTCACATGAGTAAACATCCCAACTCACATAAAATTTAGAGGTATTCCTAAAAGAAATTGGGTATGCAGGCCTTTATTCCTTTGACTGATAGTGCTCTGTTCTAGGGAAATAAGACTTGGGGATACAATTATGGACCTTTGGCACCTGGGGTACACATAAATGTGCTGTACCATACCTCATCCTCAAAATGAAACTCTAAGACAGTATCTCATCAATGGGTTTCCAAAATAATAAGCACATCCTCCCAGCGAAAAGGTTTCCAACACTAAAAATTGAATGTGCCTTCAATGATAGTCTTTTCTAAATAGATGTTCTACATCCCAGGTGGGGAACTCCCATATAAGAAAGGCCAGGGGTGCTCATCATACCTTTAAGGGGTTAAAAACACGGTTTTGGTACCTCTTAGGGTCTTCAGCCTCAAAAGGTCCACAGTGGAAACTTTTACGGTACTTTTTAGGGTACTAAGCCAAAAGCATATAACGGGAGATGATGTGTTGTTTTAGAATTGGTACGAAACCTTTTAGGGGTGAAGAACATTTCAAGCCACCCCAACAAAAAAGGATCTTGGTACCTCTTAGGGTTCTTTTCAAAACTTCTGATGAGCAACCCCATCCTTTTTAGACGGGAGTTCTCGCCTCAGGGTTCTACACAAAACAACCAGTTAAGTAAGCGCTAATATTTTCCTTTCCTTGCTTTTGTATTTGACGCTTAATCTTATAGTTACTCACCAAGACTGAGGCAATGGTGTGTCATGAAGAAACACTCTGTCACAAATCCAAATGCCGGTGTACCCCTTAATGTTATGGGTTCTACAAGACAAATAGAATGCAAAATGTGACATGAACATGCAGCAAAAGAAACCTGGATCTTTGTTTATTGCACTGCTCATGGGTTTCGTTAATGTTTTCAGCAGGAGGACAAATGGTTTTCACAGGTGGGCTAAACATTCTGAACTAAACTTCTGTACAAGAAAACTTTCCCCTAGATGGTCAAACCATCATCAGTCCTCATCGTGCCATCAGATGCATAAGGCCTTAGATGGTTAAACCAGGCGGCCAAAATCATCCTCATGGATAATCAATTTGCACCATGCCTGGCCCTTAATGAAACCCATGGCTGATGTTGCAAAAAAAAAAAAAAAGTCTATGCAGAGCCCCACTCTGATGTAAATCAACTCTATATATTATCTATGGAGTTTGTGGGTTTCTTTCCCTTTTCTATTGAAGCCTGTCAGAGTTCTGTATGACTCCACACAGCACCAAAGTTGACAACTTGCTGTGAGGGCTCTCAGTGGTTGAATGCAAGCTTAAAGTTAAAGTGCAAAGGACATCTAAACTGTTGTCTTTCAAACTAACTTATGATGTCTAAAGTATACCCCTACCAGGAGACATTTACAAATAGGTGGGTCCATTTCACACAAAATAAAGCTATATGTAAGTCAGACTATAGTTAATTTTCCTGATTGTCAATGCTACTAGGGGAACTTGGCTGAATTTAATGTTTTACATTAAAGCCTCAGTAGCAAAAGACTTTGCATAGAGAAGACATCATGTTAGATAACTTGACTCCAAACCATTAAAGAGCTAGTGAAACTTAGTATATAGTGAAATAGCTGGCTCTTTGGGTGTAATATTGAAGGAGATATTGTCTTTCAAAACCTGAAAAATCTCTGGGTGGCAAAAGTGCTAATGAGCTCGTACATTCTTAGTAAAACATTGAGTTTTCAAACATGCATCAAACAAAAAGTGAGAAATACATCAGGCTAAACTTCCTTGGGAAAGTTAATCATGTTATAACCTTTCACCATTCAGGACTGATATTTTTATAGCTTGATCACAGGGGCATAGCCAGTAACAGGCAAACCAAGGCAGTTACCTCTAGTCAGTCATTTTTTTTCATTTTTGTTATTTATAAATAGTCATCATAATCACCTTAAATACCTGCATTGTGGGAGGAAAATTAAATGGCTTAATCTTAATTTTTTCATGGGCATTGCTTCAGTCATAAATTCTCTCTGGTTATGGCCATGGATCAGAAACTGATATGCTTATAAATGCCTTTGAGGCATAGAGAGTCTCACCTTCATCAGGAGGTACCACAAGTCTTGTTTCACCATCAAGTCCAACAACATGCAAGCCAGTGTCTTCTTGTGCAATCCCCTCAACACCAACATTCACAGCACAGTATTGTGGGTTGATTTTCAGAAGCTTTGGTGAGCAAGGATCCATGAAAGGCTGGCATATTTTAAGGAGCAAAGTGCTGAGGTTAAGAAAAAATCCATCTTGTGCCTGAGTTGTGGCAAAAAACTCAGCCATCATCTGCGAAAAAAAAAAGAACACAAATTTAACAAATAGGCGGGTCCACATTTTCCCCTGGTTTATTCTTCTTAAGACTGAAGATAGAAAGATAGAAGATAGAAATAAAGACATGAAAAGTTCAAAACTTAAGAAGCAGGGCTATCATCAAGGGCCATAACCTGTAATACCTGTTACGGGTAAGTATGCTTGATTTTTACTTGATGCCATGGGTGAAATTGCCTCTTGTTGATACAATTCACCCACAAAGTAACAACTTTGTTACGAGTGAGGACAACAAGGCTACAGGTGACTCGAAACTTAATGACAGCTCTGAAGAAGGACTACTGCAGACGAGTGGTTTCAATGTAAAGAATATTTAATAGAATGTGTAATGCACATGTAACATAATCTTTATCAGTGCTCGAAGGCATAGCATCTTTGTTAAATTAAACATTGTAAACCCAAACAAAAACAATTCAATCACCTTCTTTCTTGTGATGTTTCCATGTAGACATGCTCCAAACCAGTGAAGAACTTGGTGTTTAGTCAAATTTGATCTTTTTATGATTTCCATAATCACCTACAATAAAAATATTAAACAAGAACTAGAACATTGCAATAATAAAATAATATCAAACATAATTTTTACTTATTAAATCATTTCTGTACTTTTAAAGGTAAACTTAGACTTGAACCAGGCACTTGAATATACATTTGCACCATGCAAACATTAATGCATTTACCAATTCTCTTAACGTTTTCTTCATTAGAGCACAAAACTGGCTTCATCGGACACAAGATGTAGCTCCTGCCATACACATGTGTCTGTCAGTCTTTATGTACATGAAGGTACTCAATCCCATTCTAAGATGGAGTCAGGACTCTCCAGGATAGACAGTTATTTCTGGCTTGAAAAATGCCATAAAAATCTAGTCAAAGGGAATTGGTTTGTATGTAAAAGTTGATCAAGGTTACACAACTACAATATTGGCTAGTAAGAGATAAGAAGTCACTGCTCTTTTTCTACTCTTGAATCTTACATCACTGATTTGCGACTATGACAGACAAATTAAACTAATGTATCTGGTGGGTAACAAACCTTGTGGAGTTTTTCTGATAAAGAATCCAAGTGTGTACGCAAGTTAGCCATAGTAGCTTGCATCTCAGCATGACTCTGCTCGGTTGGTCTCTGGAAGAATTCCTGAAAACAAAACTTACAATCAGCAGGAAATTGAGAACAAAAAAAGGAGACACATCTGTGTGATCAACAGTTAACATTGTATGTGGAAGATATACAGAGTGGTTGGAATGGCAGAGACAAATGATGCAAGCTGTGAGGTATGATGTAGAAGGTGGAACTGGTTAGGTCCCATACTCAGGAGAGAGGGTGTTACTGACTGTTTTGCAGAATTTTGGTGGACACCAGGTGGTTGAAGGACGAGAGGTTGGATATTAATGTTTGGTATTTATCCCACTGAGATCCTTACAATGAGCATCTGAATACCTTAAATTTCCTTACAACTGCTGAACATGGTGGTTGTCTGTGTAATTGCCTTAGCATAGTATGATAATTTACCATTCTGTTACAGTCACTAACAGGTCACGTTTACTTGAACTTAATATTTTAAAACTAGTGACTACTAACTGAAGGCTTGCTTGGATCCCTAGACATACTGGTCAATCCCAACAGAAATCCTAACAGAGTTTGTTTCTCAAAGGCATGGCCTTGAATAGCACTTATTGGTGATTTAGGAGGAAGCCAGAATCTTGAGGAAACAAGGATCTGAAAAGAAGGCAAAGTCATTGTAAGTAAGTAAGTGTATACTATGTAAGTAGCTAAGGACAATGTTTAGATGCCATTTCTTTCACACAGAATCAAATTAAGTTCCGTCTAAGGCAATGAGTTCTAACAAGTATATTGTATTCCATGACTAATAAAATCCAACATAAAGGGTGGTGAATGGTAAATGCAAGACTTTGTGAGAATGCGAGGCTAGCTCTTTACTTCAAAGACCTCAAAGCATTTTATGTGCAAGCGAGAGACATCCAGACTCTAACACATCCAGACATCAATAATTATCATAAAAACAAACTTGTAAACAAATCAGGACTTTGAGGCTTTCTTAGCCTTGCAAAATTTCAAGACTCCAAGAAAGCTCTGTAAAAAAATTTTGCAAGATGCACATAACCGCTTCCAAAAAACAAGACTGCAAGACCCATAAAATATGACAAAAATTTTGCGAGTCCCATGGTTTTTGAAGGGCCATTCACCATCCCTAATGTAATCACTTTTTTTTATACCTGTATGGAACACGGTATTTCCTGGCAGTCACCACACCTAGAACTTACATGGTCTGACAAGATTGATACTCAAAGATGGGTTCGGAATGTCTGACAATGTTATCTAGCCGGCAGTTTTTCATTTTAATTTGCAGAGCTTTCATTTAAGAGCAGAAAAACTCTTCCAGCATTTTTCAGCCAATCAGGGGTGCTCATTGGAAATTTTGAAAAGAACCCCTAAGAGGTACCAAGATCCTGTTTTGTGGGTGTGGCTTGGAATGTTTTTCACCCCTAAGAGGTACCAATTCTAAAGCAACACATTATCTGCAGTCATAATTTTTTCTGGCTCAATACCTAAAAGGTACAGGACCGCTGTGGATCTTTTGAGGCTGAATACTCTAAAAGGTACCAAAACTGCTTTTTTAACTCATGAAAGGTGCGACAAGCAACCCCGTCCTTTTCTTCTATGGGAGTCAATTAAACCAAACTCAAATTAGAGTTACTTGGCTTTCTTAAAGGACTTTGGAACAAAGTTTAAGAACTAACAAGTCATCTCAAAGGACTGTCAAGAAACAGTTAATAAATTACTGTTTTGCAATGATTTTAAGAAGGTGTGATGGTGTCCAGGATGAGATGATTTGATAACATGTCTCCCTTTTCTCTCCCTGAGTGGAAAATTTCAAGAGAAGTCCCCTTTGCCTTATAGCTAACTGCCCCCTCCATCCCTGCCCCTGCTCTATCCACCTTCCTTCCAGCTCTAAGCTTACTATTATTCTAGGCACATTATCACCTCTGCCAGTCCTGTGTGTTTTGCGAAGAACAGAAGGACATCAATGTAGGTGCGAATTTCAGACTGAAGAAGTGATGAAAGATCTTTGCTTCTTTCAGCTAACATGACAAGCACTGGAGAGAACATACTGACCTATGAAACAAAGATTTTTTAACGTGAATTTGAAGCAGTCACACAGTTGACATTAGTTCTTATTAATCTATGACTTGTGTTTGTAGCGGATATAACATGCACTTTGATTGGCTAATACTAGGGCATTATTCTCCCATAACGCCCACAGGTCGATTATGGACCTGCAAAAACCAAGCAAAAAGCCATATAATACATGCACACTAATTATTAACCTCAAACGTTCAGGCTTTACGGGAAAATCTCAAACCTTGGCCTTGCCGTATTGACCCTGCTATAGCTCAGTCAATGCCACAAAGTCTCAGTCTGAGATTTTCCTGTGGAGACCTCAATCTCGGTTAATAAGTAGTTAATAATGGCTACCCATACATGTAAGTATCCTTACGAGCAAAGTCAGGTTTATATTAGAGTACTCACTAGATCATCCTGCCGTTGATGTTCCTGAACAAGCCCATCCAGGAATTCTGCCAAAACCTGATCTCCTAAAAAAGAAATTTGACAATAACATTTATTTCTTAACAGATACTCAAGTCTGACTATTCCAAATAAGAAGAATTTTGGGAGAAAAGAATTCAAAGATCTAATTTGAAATGCTCACCAGGGCTGTTAAGTTGAAAGTTGAGTTTTTGGACCCTTAGGTCATGTTCTATTGGGATAAACCGATTCAACTGCAACCTGTCTGGGTTGATGTGGTTGACATTTCTTGATTCAATAGCACACCTTTCCAACCATTTCAGTTGAAATGCAGGAACGCCATGCTTTTCAAACCATTTCAACCTTGTTTGAGGCTGGTTGAAAAAGTTGATCAACAAGCCGACTGAAAATGTTTTCTCCCCAATAGAACCCAAAAAGACCCAGCAAATTTTTATGGCCTTTTTATGGCAATCACTCATTTTTTGTGCCAAATTCTACCCAGGAGAAAATCAATATCATTAGATACCAACAAGTACAGAAGATGTAATTTCCCTACCTTGCATGGTTAACATCAGCTGAAATAGCTGCTTATGAGTATCTCCCTTAGGAAACATTTCTGGGCTTAACAAACACGTCCTTGAATAACAAAAGAGAACATATTCAACAAAGTGCCCTGTATAATTAATTTGACTTCAATTTGCCAGATACTTTACTATTTAATACACATTTTCTGAAGACTAACAACAAACCCCCAGATCAAAATTTCCAGAATCTTTTGTCAAATGGAAAGCACCCATAGAGTCAGTTTGCTTAAGCTAGAGATTGCGATAAAGACGTGTATCAGTTTGACTGTAATAATATTATATATTAAAATAAAGCCTGCACTACCTACCCCGCATATGAAAGTGCTAGTGTCTTTGCTCTTTCTGCCATTTCCAGAAGAGTGGAATCCTTTTCCTTTGAAAGCATTAGACATATATCATAATTAATCAACTAGTATTAAACCTAACTTATGTACTTGAACTTACATGTACTACTACTGTAAACAGCTTGTGAAGTAAAGAAATTAACTCAGCCTGATATTATTAGTAAGAAGTCCTTAAAAGTTGATTAATTTTGTGGAGTGCAAACAGTGTTATGATTAATGCTCTGTACATAAGGGAGTTAATCAAATGAATTAAAATTGAGTTTGCTGGTCAGAAGTGGGGAGGCACAGTGGTCTCACGGTTAGTGCGGTTGACTTTGGATCAAGCAGTCCGGGTTTAAGCCCTGGCCAGGGGACATTGTGTTGTGTTCTTGGGCAAGACACTTTACTCTCACAGTGCCTCTCTCCACCCTGGTGTATAAATGAGTACCAGTAAAGGTAATGCTGGGGGTAACCCTCTGATTGACTAGCATCCCATCCAGGAGGGAGTAGAAATATTCCTAGTCTCTTCATGCTACAAAAACAGGGATAAGCTCCCACCTGATGGGCCACTTGGCTCATATGCAGACTTTACCTTTATCTACATAAGGGAGGCACAATGACTTAATGGTTAGACGTGTAAGTACTGGACTGTGGATCGAGCAGTCTGGGTTTGAACCTTGGCCAGAGTCATTGTGTCATATTCTTCTGCAAGACACTTTACTCTCAAGCTCCTCTCTCTACAAAAATAGTATAAATGGGTACCGTCCAGCGACTTGTTGAGGCAAGTTGACAGTTTGAAATGGAGACTGATGAAGATGTTTAAGTCAATAATAGAACACACCTTCCATTTCTTGCACTCTTCAAAAGCTCTTCTATAACAGGAAGCCAAGTATTTTATGATTGCAACTTCTCCTGCTTCAATCTCGGCAGTAAGCGATGTCATACGGGCACCACCAGTAATCATAACATGGGATCGTGGGTGAGACATGCTCAGTCTTTCCATGATGGCCTGATGGCATGAGCAGAGAGAATTTATATTTTGTTGATCAAAATAAATGCCAAGTCATTTTCCTTTCTTTTCCTCTCAGTATACTAATTAAAATAAATAGCAAACACTTTTTTGCATTTCTATTGAGTTTTACATAGTAAGTAGAATTATCAAACTGACTCAAAGCCAACATCAGTAACTCGAAAACCACAAGGTTCATTTACTACCTTGGCCCAACTTTAAACATATATCTTCTCCCTTTAAGTTATTGTATTTTTCTTCACAAATGTGTATTAAGTGTCAAGAGTAAATAAAGCATTGTTGTTGTTGTTGTCAGTGACACATTTGCCTTACAGCTTGTGTGCCACTTTTTTGTTCAAGTTTACCACATTTTGATATCATCTGTGATCTATTACTGAACAGACCCACAGCAACATGGAATGTTTTTGTTAAATAGAAACATTTATGAAAGTATTGACTTGAAAAAGTTACATGTATGGTTACATATACGTTCCCCAAGCATCTCTTGTTCTCCCAAGCGTCCACTCTTGGGCTGGGTTGTTCGAGAGGCGGTTAACACTAACCCAGGATTAAAAGTTAACCGAAGCATTAATTTTCTTGTATGAAAATGTTTTTTACTGCTAATGTTTTGTGTAGTTTGGGCTTGCACAAGCCCAAACGGGAGGACAAACAATATCAACAGAAATCGTCACCAAAAAGTTACAAAACTGAAATCAAAATTCTTGCTAATCTTGGGTTAGCTTAATCAAGCTTTGAACAATCCGGCTCTGTTTCCATAACTCAACAGAAATGTTTCCTCTTTATTGTTTGTAGACTCACTTCATCAATGTTAATCCACTGCAGAATGGGTAATTCTCTGTCACCAGCAGTATTCCGTAAATAAACACACCTCTTTGGCAGACCACCATATTGTCTTTTTCCCACACGATCACTATCTGAATACCACAATCACATAATTGAAACAAGAAATCAGAGGTGTTAAATATTAGAGAAAAATAGACAACTGTACTTTGCACATACCGGGTACATGTACATTGAAATCAGATAATAGAAGACAAGGTCCTTAATCAGGAATACATTTTACTGCAAGTATGCTGTTCCAGAAAATATCCATGTACCCCTCCAACAAAATTGTTTTGGCTTCAATCCCTTCCCACATCTCTTTCATTCATACTGCATAGTTTTTGAAATCACCTCCCCTCTGGAATTTACAGTGAGTTTCCTTGAGGTGTACCAAGATATTTCATAGGTTAAAAGCCACAGAGACAACGCAAGTTACAACAACCAGAATGTACCTGAGTTTTGGCAAAATGATCTTTTTTGACACAAGCTACTTCTTTGCACAACTTGTTTCAAGTTTAATGATTAGAGAGGAAGGGAGGAAGGGAAGAAAAGAAGGAAGGAGGAAAAAAGAGAAGGATAGAAGGGACAAATGGAAGGAGGGAGAAAGACTGAGAGGGAGGGAAAGGGAGGAGGAGGAAAGAGCAGAGGGAGAGAGAAAAGTGAGACAGCCAATCCAGAATGGCCCCAGAATCAATGGCTGAAAAGGAGTCTGGTGTCAAGAGCAGATTTATAAATTATTACCTTCATCTACAGTGATAAGAAACACTCGCTGAAGCATGTCATTCACCATCCACATTCTGTCTTTCTCATCATTTAACGTTTCCACCTCAGCATGCCCTGACCCAGTTTTAGAATCACTGTTTCCCGCATCTTTCAGCGATACAGTTATTGACTGTGTGTGTGTGGTGCTGTACTCTTCAGCCTTTTCAACAGAGGGAAAGAGAGCTACAAATGGATTCTGAGACACCTGCGATGAATGCCTGTCCTCCATGACAATATGATTCAGATGACTAAGGAAAACAATCGAAAAATTACCATTATAATTAAATCATGATTATTACAGTGTAGTAAGGGAAAAAGGAGTGGGGAAGTCAAAAAGCGATGAAGAGAGAGATCAAGATGGGAGTCCACATTGGGTATAATAAATAAATAAATAAATAAATAAATAAATAAATAAATAAATATCTTAATTGACCACTCCCCCAGTGGGACTTTTCAGGACCAATGAAACCAAATGATGAAACAAATAATGCAAATGAACATAACATGGTTAAAAATCCCAACTGGCGGGAGGCAGACCAGCTGGCTCTTTACAAGCATGGCTGAGGAGTTGAAATAGGGTCTACCGAGAAACAACTCCAGCTAAGTGGTCAGAGCGGGACTTGAACCTGCGACCTCCAGATTTCAAGTCCGGCGCCCTGACCACTCGGCCACGCTGCCTCCACAATCTTTTCTCTAGTGCTGACAGAGACCTAGGTAAGCCTGTATCCAGACTATACAAGTTAAGGTTTTCTTCTAGACACAACCCATGCCTAACTAAAGCCATTGACACAATAGGTGATTTTAAATCCTGATTGCTTAGATTTATGAAAATCACCACATGTACCCGTTACTGTAACTGAAATTTTCACCAGTCCAGCAACTCTGACTATGGACTATGGTCAAAGTGCAGATATCTGATGTAACAGAATCACTAGTGGTTTACAAAAAAATCACTAAATGTGCCAGAGGCAGGCATGGGATGAATTTGCTGGTGATTTTTGCTGACAATCCAATTTAGCACAATCATTTAATAAAATTCCCTATTGTATTGTAACCCTCCAAGTTGCGACCATTTCAGTTGCCATGGCGACTAGAATTTTGGAGCTGGCGA